AGGAAGGGGAGGAAAAGAGAATTAGAGAGAGCTGTAGGAGAGAGAGGGAGGGAGGGAGAGGAGAAAGAGAGGGAGGAGGAGGGATGCGGTGGGAGGGGGAGGGAAAGAGAATTAGAGAGAGAGTAGGAGAGAGAGGGAGGGAGGGAGAGAGGAAGGGAGGGAGCAAGGGAAAGAGAGAATTGGAGAGGGAGGGAGAGGAGAGAAAGGGATGGAGGGGGAAGGAGGAGGAGGGAAGAGGAGGGGAAAAGAGAATTAGTGAGGTAGAAGAGAGAGCGAGGGAGGGAAATCGCTGCTCATAGACGTGAACAAGCCAGCGCTGCCCAACCTCAAGCTCCCTCTGCCTTCACCTCCTCCTAACCCAACCTCCTGCCTATCTCGGTGGTTGGGGTGAGGGTGCCTTCAGCTGCCCCAGGTCCTGACAGTTCTCTCTCCCCTCGCATTCCAGCAGTCCTGGCCCAGACTCCTCTGTCACCCACGTTTAATCACCCGAATCCTGGAGGTCAACTTTCACACCTGGGCTGGGAGCCAGTCAGGTCCTTTTCACCTCCTGAGCACCCGGCATTGTGGCCTGCGGCCTTTGGTTACGTGGGCTTGGGGGAAACACTGTACAAGACTGGCCTGGGAAGGGCAGTAGAGAAGCCAGCATGTAGGCCTGGCTGCCACAGCCCCTGCCTGGGGGCACCCCAGCAAGGAGGGAGGAAGCAGGCTGGCCCCTCCCAGCCCTCACATTAACATGAGGCCTCCGAGGGGCTGTTTGTGTTCACATGAGCAAAGGAAAGCACGTTCAGGGCAGCACCTGTCAGCGTCCACGAGCACCCCTCGGAAGGGAAGGGTTAAGCAGAGTCGAGCAGATTCCTGCTCAGGGGTCTTCCCAGAACCTCAGGTGAATCCTGTGCTGTGTGAGCCTCTGAGTGGACACAGTCTGCCAGTTTCCCCAAGCCTGTTTGGCCGAGGAACCTTTCTTCATGGAAAAGTTTGCAAGATGGGGGTGCCAAGAAACCCACTTTGGGAAAACCCCAGGAGTATGTTTTGTCTTGCTTGTTAAATCAAAGTAGAGGTGGTTTAGGTTAGGCTCGGGGGAACGGTGGGGAAAGGGGGTCTTGAGCATACTCCTGGTTGTGTTAAACCAGGCACAAAACATGCCTCTAGCAGCAATGTCCCCAAATTGTGCGCCTCACCGTGTGAACACTGAAGACACCAGGACAGATGGGTGTCGCTTTCCACTCTTTCCCCAGTGATTATTATAAGTCATGCCCTGGGGAGCAGGAGGCAACCCTGGGGACCCTGCCCCACAGGGCCCTTCCCTCCAGAAGCCACACCAGGTTGCTGATGAGCCGGGGACTTGCATCCCCATTCCTGCCTGCAACTTCCAGGCTGTCCCTAAGTCCCCAACTGGGATGCAGAAACCCCACACCTTGAGACAATGGCAGAGCTCCTTAAAGCCTGTAGGGGCCCCAGACAGAAGGCACTAATTGAAAATATAATGACATCTTTTGTGAGGCCTGTTGATGAAGCAGTTTCTGATGCAATTAACCCCATCCTCTGCAGAAGGCGCAGATGCCAGTCATGAGGGCAGCAAGATGATCCCTAGTAGGACAGCCCATGAAGCACTCAACTGATAGAGTGTGGGAGGAGAGGTTATTCATGTCCCAAGCTCAGAGAGCCCTGAAAAGCCTGGCTGTGGGGTCACAGTGGGCCACACCTCTGAGTCCCTGAGCAACTGTCATGGGGACAGCCAGGCAGGGTCTCTCCAACCATGGGACCCAGTCCTCCTGGGTTGCCTTTCACAGCACTTTCATTACTGCTGGCTGCTTTCCTCTCTAGAACCCTGTTCAGAACCTGCTCTACAAGGTATGAGCACATCTAACCTTCACCATACCCCTAGGAGCATGCACTGTCCATGTTCCCACATTGTGGATGGGGATGCTGAGCCATGCAACCACAACCCCCTTGCCTGCGTGGGAGGATGGATGTTTGGGGAGGGAGTGAAAAATGACTTTTTAGATATGACCAAGCTCAGAATGGCAAAGAGCCAGCCACCAGGTTATGGGCTCAACCAAGGCTTCTCCAACTTACTAGCTGGGACTTTGTCAGAGACAATCCACACAACCTCTCTAAAGCTGAATGCTCTAGAAAATAAGATAATAATACTACTCATATCCTACACTGAGGTTGTTAAAGATATTCCTTGGGGTAAGGAGTTGAAAATAGCAGCTCTTACTGCTGTCATTGGCCTGGTCCCAGCCCTTCTTGGCTCATCACAGCCACTGGGACCTCACCAGGGCAGCATGGGTGTGGGAGGAGGTGGACAGGGAAGGAAGGTCAGTCTGGGACTTGGAAGACCCTCCCACCATGGGGCATGGGTCACCTAGTTTATTTTCCCTTAGAGGGTGAGATGCCTGCCTTCAAATAATGTCATACTGTCGCATTTAGTAAATGGACTAAGGTGATGCCCAATTGCTAATGTCCCTCGCTACCTGCCAGAAGCAATGTACATTCTCTCCAATGTGGGATATCATACCAGGCTCCAAGTTATATCTGTCTTTTTTTATATACAATGTCTAACACATGAGGAAGGACAAGACAATAGAAATAAAAGTCAAGAGAAACAGCAGGTAAGACCCACAGAGGTTCCAGGTCTTGGGGTTATCAGACAGCAATTTCATAATAGCAATGCTTACTATGTTAAGCAAATTGAATGTAAAATTTTGAGAAAAAAATTGGAAGATATGAAAAAGAATTAATTGGGCAGTTTGGAACTGGAAAGTATAACAAACAAAATTAAGAGCTCAATGAGTAGATATATCTGCAGATTAGACATAGTTGAAGAGAGAATTAGTGAAGCAAAGAATGTCAAAAAATTCATGCTCTAAAGTATGGAAGTATATACACAGAAGGAAAATACAGAATAAAGGGTAAGGGACATTGTAGAAGTAGTGTGTATGTTTGGGATCTAAGGGAGAGAGATAAAACGTAGCAGAAGTAATATTTGGAGATATAGTGGCAGAAAATATTCCAAAACTGAGAACAGTCATCTAGGCATAGATTCAAGAATCCCTATGAACGCTTTGCAGGATAAATATTTTAAAAATTATACTGAAGTGCTTTATGATAAAATAGCAGAAACCCAAAGACAAAGAGGAAATCTTAAAGTAAGTTGAGAGAAAAAGCAGAGTTCCTAGGAAGGAGTAACAATTAGATGTAGAACTGACCTCTCATGGGAACTATGGTGGCTAGAAGACAATGGAATGATATTTTAAAGTGCTAAAACAGAATTCTATTATCCAATGAAATTATCCTTCAAGAGATAAAGTTGATAAAGACATTCTCAAACAAACACAAACTAAAAGAATGACACAAGGTGTGTCCTTTAGACAAAAAAATAAAATAAATTGAGGTGAAGGTTCAGAAATGAAGGAAAGAATGAAGAGCTCTGAAAAGGCCAAGTAGACAGAGAAATATAAGTGAATAATGACAGTGTAGTGTTTCATGGGATATAAAACAGATGACTCAGATTCACAAGAATTGCATGAACCTTGAGGAGGGATTAAATGGAGTCAAAGAGATATATCTTGTTTCCATTGTTCTGGAGGGTGATGGAAATACTAAGTTAACACTGTACTTTCATAAGATACATATAGAGTCTTTGAAAATCACTAAAAGAGTCATATGGTATATATAAACTTTTAAAATAATCAATGAAAAAATAAAATAATAAAATATGAATCTAACATATGCAAGAAAAGAGAAATGAAAACAGAATAGATAAGCTATATATTTATCTTTGAGTAAGATGGTAGATTTGCAAATATATTAGTAATTATAATAAATGAAAATATATGAAGTATTATAATTAAAGAAAAACAGATTGGGTAAAGAAAAAATTCAAGTCTATACAGTTTATGAAAGTTACATCTAAAAAGTATAAGAGTAGATAAAGATTAAAGTAAAATTTTAGAGGAAAAAATACTATGCAAATACCAATTAAGAGAAAACTTGCAGCACTCTGTTTATATCAGACAAATACACTCTGAGGAAAAAGCATTATATACAAAGAGGTACTCTCCATAACAATAGTTCAATTCACTGAGAAGATATAAGAATCCTAAATTTGTGTGCACTTAATAATATGACTTCAGGCTGGGCACGGTGGCTTATGCCTATATCCCAGCACTGGGAGGCTGAGACGAGAGGATTACCTGAGCCCACAAGGTCAAGACAAACCTGGGCAACTTGATGAGACCTCATCTCTACACTAAATCAAAAAACTAGCCAGGCATGGTGGCATGTGCCTGTAGTTCCAGTTACTTGGAAGGCTGAGGCAGAAGGATTGCCTGAGCCCAGCAGGTCGAGGCTGTGGTGGCTGTGAACATG